TCAGAGCTCAGGCTCAGAGCTGCTCAGTCCCAAGGATTGTTTGGGTCTGTAGCAGGCAGTCTTAGGGATGGGGGGATGTTGAGTCTGTAGCTGAGACTCCGCACAGGTCTACCACACTACCATGTCACATAACCTCTCCTCTCACATGGTTTGTCATGGTTTAGGTGGATAAGCTGCCACATGTGTGCTGGTTTCCTCTGGAAGTGCACAGATGTCAGTAAAGTGTTGTTAACATGCATGGAATAAAATTTAAAAAGTATGTTGCAGAGCCATAGGGCTTGAAATGCAGAGGAGTTGTTGCTGCACAACTCAGGTTTCAAGTAGCTGAGCCTAATTCTTTCCAGCAGGTAAAACTGGAGTACAGCCCTGCTGAAGACATTGTTTACAGAAGGATAAACATGGCAGTTTACCTGATTTTTTAAGTTATGTTGTTTGTAGCTTGGCATATGAAGAGATCTGAGATGTCTGTTTGGATTTTAACACTCCTAATGTAACTAAAAATGTCCTAAAGGCTCAGCACTTCCACCCACTGAGGTTTGCGTAGCACAGGCTGGATATGGCACAGCTTCAAATTCCACCAAAAAAAAACCACCCAAAAAACCCCAAGATTGGTGTGTAAACTTCTGTGTCAAAGAAATTCCTGCATGTTGGTGTTTATTCTAGCAGACTGATCTCTCTCCTGCATAATATTTTCATATCTTCATATCCACAAAATATGCTTTAATTTTATTCATCTTGCAATTTTTCTGCTGCTGTGGCAGAATGGAGGATGGGTGGCTGTGCCTGCCTTGTCAGGAAAAGCAGACAGCAGCACTTGAGGCATGTCCCTGCAAGGCAGGCTCAGGAACAGCATGGCCCCAAAGCAAAACTGAGTCTGTGTAACAGAGACTCTGTGGAGCCTTTCACATTTATCTAGCCTGGGCTTAAAGTATTCATATTTTTTAAAAAATTAAATTTGTGTGCCAGCAGACATGCTTTATGTTGCTAGAAGGCAGCTTGGATGTTTGAGGAAAAAAGTTGTCTTGAACACTTAACTCCCTGAGAAAACAGCTGTGACACACAAAAAAACCCCAACCTGTGATGAATCCCCCCAAACTCCACTTTATTTCATTTCCTTATTTGCATTGTAAAACAGCTAAACTGGTAATGTATATTTATAATTTATATAGAGGAACATATTGTGTGCATTTAATCCAGGTATTTTTTTTATGTCACAGTCTTTTAGAAAGTGTTGTGGATCCATCTGATGTTCCTGAAAATTGGATTTTATAGTCAAATTAGGTTCATAGATAGGTAGAATTGCAAGAATACATAGTTCCTGAAGGAATAGTTTGTAAAACTCTGGAAGAGAAAAGAACCTTCAACATCATTTGGAAATGTCACATGATACTGAATCATCTTTAATACCAGCATTTTTTTTTAAAGTTTGTGATTTTTCCTTTTATCTTTTGGGATCTACAGAGTGTCAGAGAGGTAAAAGCAGGGATAGCAGTTATTTCCCTCCTACAAAGATGTTTATGCCTTTAGGTAAAAGACCTTGAAATAATGTTACTTTGGTATAAACCTATTTTAAATATTCAGATTTGTTTTGCAGTATGCATAGAATCACAGAATGGTTTTAGTTGGAAGGGACCTTAAAAATCATCTTTGAGCTTTGCCATGGGCAGGGACACCTTCCACTGTCCCAGGTTGCTCCAGGCCAAATCCAGCCTGGCCTTGGACACATCCAGGGATGGAGCAGCCACAGCTCCTCTGGGCAGCCTGTGCCAGGGCCTCACCACCCTCATAGACAACAAACATGTACAACTCTACAGTTATTGTTACCTTTTATATTAATACTTTTTAAAGTAATTGTAAGTTCTTCAAATAAATTTTCAATTACCAAAAAACACCTTTCCCACAGCTGAGTGCGTTGTTAGTAATTATTTTTTCTTTTTAAAATAAGTAAATCATTATGGAATGAATTAATATTTGAACTCTTAAGATCTTTTCTTAGACTTGATAATTGTAAAAATGTTCCATCAATTATTGTTTATTGTATGTGTATTATGTATAAATGCTGTTTGGGAAGTTGTCATTAGTGTTTTAACCACTTCAGTATGGGAATAGAATCAATCATGCTGCTTTTGCTTTTCACTTCATGAGAAAATTGTTGTCTTTACTCTTAGCTAAATTATTCTTGCATTTAATAATTCAGTAGTCAGTCTGATGCATTTTTCACCTGGGAAAAGGGGGCCAAAGCTTGTCTTTATTTTCCATGTATATTCAGTGCTACGCTCGGGGGAATGGTATATCCAAAAATAAGACTATAAATAAGAAATCAGTAGCCTTTTCTGTCTTGCTGCTTTATGTGGGTTTGATATACGCTCCTGCAGCATTATTACTTACTCTGTTCAAATCAATGCTCTGAGCTTTCCTTTACATGATTGATTTCTTCCAGATTAGCCCACAAAGTACGTGATTTAATAAACATCACTGCTACCTGTTTGCTAACACACAGATGTCTGCAGTGGTAGACAGAGACTGTAAAATTTCTAAAAGTGCTTCAGTCAGTCATAAGATTTGGATGATATCACTTTATTTAAGTGGGAAAAAGAAAACAGATTTGGTCTGCTGTAGTTGAAAGCAAACTAAAAGTCCTTGGAAGAAACAGAAATAAGGCAAGAATTCATTAAAATGAAGGCAGATTCTGCAGGAGATAATGATATGAAGGAAAGTTGCTTACTAGGGTATTGTCCTCTTTAAATGCCACTTTGCTGCTTCACAAAAGAAGCATTTTTCCCATGCTTTTGTGTTCTTAAAAATTGTGGTAGTAGATTGTAAAGCATCAGCAACAACATTATAACTGCTGACGTCACTTCCTAAAATACCTATAGATATGTATTTGTATTACCATTTAGTGAAAGTTTTAGCAGAAATGGGCTGTCAAGGAAGAATTTAAATGTTCTATAGTGCTGTCCTGGGGTTCAGTGGGTGTGGGGTCCATATAGAGTACCTGCTTTTTATTAGGATGTTATTTATCTGTAGCAACTCACAGGGTGCTCATGTTCTGAGCAGTATATCTTGCAGGAGTTCCATGCAGGACATGGAAGAATTTTATGTGCCATTTGGATATTTAGAACCAGATTTTTTACAGTTGCATCTGGCTGGATTATATGGACCTGGTTTAGATACAGTCTTGTACAGGGTTTAGTTTGCCCTAGCAGTTTCATTTTTTGTCTTTCCATAATACCTCTCTGATATCTCTGAGACCAGTGTTTTTTAGTGCTTTCCAGACAATTTTTGTGTATAATTACTAATAGATAATGTAATGGCTTTTGAGCCGTGATGGTCTGAGGAATTGGGAAGTTTCTTCATAAGAAGTAACAGTGTAATACTTTACACAGCTGTCCAAACACAATATTCTTTAAGTTGACTCTTAGTTCTTTGTTTTTTCCTGATAATGGTCTGACATAACATTATTCCTCCCTATATTTTCTCTCTCTATATAAGGCAGGATTTTTTTTCTTTGTGCCTTCTGTGATATTGTTTTCTCTGGAGGTAAATATCCATAGCTTCACAGCACATCTGTGCTCAGATGTGGGCTGCAGTGTAATACACCCCATATTCCCTCAATCTCTGCACCCACCAGTCTGTGGCCAGGTAATTTCTTCTGTGCTTTCTGAGAAATGTTGTGAGGTTCTATTAATCTTTCTCCAGGAAAGTAGTATTTCTGATATTACCCTGCTTTCATCCACTTTCCTGGGAGATAGTTGTCCTTTTCAATTGCTGTACTGTTGTTTTTAATATTACTGAGGCTTGTTGTCTTTTCTTTCTACTTTCTATTGCAAAATTAAAATGCTACTTTTGGCACAGAAACTATCATATTGCTTTTGAAGGATAGATATTATTCTTGCTCCCCCAACACCTTGGGAAGAATTGTACAATATTATTCTATTCAGTCCACATTTTTATCAACACGGTCACCATCACCTGCAGCCATCATTCCATTTTTGAGCACAGCCTTACAGGTATTTTTTTCCTTTTTTGCAATATCAATATATGAAGAAGATGAATGAAAGTTTCTTGCATGTTTTTGTCAGTGTGTTTTTAGAGCTCCCATGAACAGTGATGGACTTGGCAGCCTGGAGACTGAAATCCTCTGTTTAATCACAGCTAGGTGTAGTTCAGCAGAAAGATGTATTTCTATACACAGCCCCTGTAGCATGTCTAAGCCTCAAGCTGGGGAACTGACCTTCTGTAAGCAGAAAAAAGCTCTCAGGCCTCTCAGCCCCTGCCTTATCTGTGAACTGTTCAAAAAGAAGCATTCATGCCATTGAGTTTTTGTGACAGGTGCTGACATCTAGTCTGGAGTGGACTGAGAGCTCTCTTTGGGGAATTTCTTTCCCTGAGTTCCTGAGAGAAAGCAGTGTTCTATCCAGCCTGGAAGTTGTACATCGTGCATCAAGTTGTCACATAACACTTCCAACGGCAGTGGGTTTTCAGGTCAGCTTGCATTTAGCCCTAGGCTTGATCTGCTGATCATTAATGTCTGTGATTCTTTATTTTAGTTGTGAAAACTCTCAAAATCCAATAGCTAAGACCAGGAAACTAAGTAAAACTGTAAACTTCATTCCCATGTTTAGAGTATTGAGATATTTCATTTGAAAACAAAGGGAAAAGATCCTCCAGAGTATCCTGCAGTATTCTAGGCCCAGAGAAGACACATGGCACAGAATTGTTGTGTGTGGTCATAAATTGTATAATCCTGCAGCATTCTAGGCCCAGAGAAGACACATGGCGCACAGAATTGTTGTGTGTGGTCATAAATTGTATTCTCTGAACATTTTGTAATGTTGTATAGAAAGGCAATGGTCCTGCTCATATTCCTTTTCATAAATATGTGCTTATTTCCCTGAAAATCCAATGTAATGAAAAACATGCTATTCCAGAAGAAGTGATGGCTCTTAAATCTGCTGGAATTAATTTGACTGGGTTTTGGGTCTTTTTGTATTTTTCAGCTAACAGGACAAGTGACTTTGCAAATTGCCACTGATCCAGTTTTGCCGTTTAATGCCCTCGACATCGCGTTAGAAGTTCAGAACAGTCTGAAAGGTAATTTTCATTAGAGGAATATTGTTCTCCATTATTACAGGGGGGAAGAAGCATCATCTAATCCCTGATACATATTTTCAATACTTGAATAAAAGCCAGTGATTTTGCTAGTTAAATAGGGCCATTATATAATGCTGAATAAAACAAAGTTTTTAGATTTTTTCTGATGTTACTTTGTCAATTAAGCAGTACAGGTTACCTGTAGTGTCCTAAGACATTTGAAAAATATTTCTGTTTATAGGTTTATGAAACTCTCGAGTTGGTCTGTTAAATAGAGAAGTAATTTCTATAAAATCACACCCAAACTTCACGTATCCTTCAGCAGATTGCGAGATCACATCTCAAATGTAAAGACTTTTTGCAATCTTCAGGTGCTACCCCTGCATTTCATTCACTCCCTACACTATAAAGCACCACTTTTCCATAACACGTACTCACAGAAGTACGATACCTTTTCTTTAATCTTTGCCATCCATCATTGTGAAGATGTAGGAGTCAGTAGGCAAGTATTGGTCTGGAACTTTAGATGCTCTAGTGAGCATCTAAAAAGACAAGTAATTTTAGCTCTGTTGTGCCACATAAACATTAGTTTAGTTCAGCCTAAACACAGCAGGGGATGATCATCAAATGAAGTGTGGCTCAGCTGGTGTTCCTTCAACTGAACATGAGATATCTTCTATTGTTCTTCATTTTTCCTTATTTTGAGTAACAGGAAATGTTGATTTAAACTGACTTTTTAGTCCTCTTACTTCAGTTAGATCATTTATCTCTACCACTTCAGGGCAGAGAAAATTATTTCCTTGGCTGTAGGGCCAGCAGGATAAATTTTCTCCCAGCTGTTCACTTTGGAGTTTTGTTTAATGATTTTTCTCATGGCTTTCATGTCTTGTCTGTCTCTGACTTGTATAAAGGAACAGTTTATGTTCATTTTGGAAAACATTAAGACAATGGTGCTTTTACAGTTACTTAAATGAGAAGTTGTACTTTTTTATGTGGTTCCTGGGTTTATTCGTTCTTCAAAAGATTTTATGTTGAACAAACTTTCCAGTTCAAAGTTGGAATGTCTTAGTAAGCTGTTTCCTTCTCCAACTCAATGCAAACTGTAAATGTAGAAAAGATGAAGGTAAATCTGCATGACATGTAAAATATTTGTTCATTAGGCTTAATGTTGTGCCTCTGGGATCTGGTTCAGCCAATTCCTTGAACACAGATTTTATTACCTGTTGGATTTTCTCACATGCTTGAAGTTAAACTTTGTGTAAATATTTGAGTCACTGTTTTGCAGTCTCCTGGATGTACTCACAAAAGGTTGTGTATACCTTGGTACTTGTTAATACAGCATTTATTTACATTTCTAAAGAAATGAATTCTGTAATGTGGTGGGTGTCTTTGCAAGTAGCTCTGCTAAATGCCATGGGATGTTACTCAGCACCTCACAGACCATTTCTTACATCCAGGATAGTGTGGATGGCAAGTTCTGTCATCCCCAACATGTTCATGTGGCTCATGGCCTGTTCCTCAGGAAGATGGGGAAGAGGCTGCTAAGTGACATGTGTTCTCTCCCCTTGCTCACACCAGAACTCTTGGAAACAAACCATTGCTTTTGGGTTTATCTGAAAGAAAGGGTTGGGGCTGGAAAGATTTATATTTCTGCCTCTGCTGATGGTCTAATGTTGCTGATGATGATGCTGATGTTTAACAGGAAACCTTGTGGTCATAAATGATGGGAGATGGGGGTTCCAACACTGAAATCCAGGTCCCCAGGGCTAGTCAGGCTGTTGCCTGTCTATTCACAGATGTGATATTTTAAACAAATTCATAAATAAGTGACTGCTTAGAATATTCTCATTAGCTGCACCTTGCAGCTGTGTGGGATTTGTGCCTTCCATACATTTAAAGTCAAGACCCATTTTAACTTGAATCAAATACATTAATATCTTGCTAGGCCTTGCATCCTATAAAAATGCAGTTCATCTTTTGAGGTAGAGTACAGACAAGATGTCAAATCTGGTGTGTGAGTGATACAAACAGTGCTTTTAAACATTCCTATAGAAGTGCTTTGTATGTATATGCAAGTTAAAATGTACAATCATTTGTATAGAAGTGTTTTGTATGTGTACAAGCATTTTTATCCAGAACATATTTTGTTTTCTGCTGCAGGCTCTTAGCACTGTGGTCCTTGTAGCCTGTCTTTAAAATCTGGTATATATTACAGCAAGCTTCAGGGGTTGATAATGCAGATTCCCCAGCACCTCATTAGGATTAAAAGCATTCCTGTACCTTTGCACCTGACTGTCCCAACAACAGCAAGTTCAGCCACCCAGTTTACAAAATTGAAGTCAGCCAGGTTGGTGTTGTCCCTCACTTGGGTGCTGTTGAAGCTGATGTCATTTATTATTGCCACTCCCTTGGACTCGTGCAAACCTTTCAAAATTGGTGTCTGTGCCCAGCCCTGAATTGTGCCTGTGCAGCACCCGGCAGGAGAGGTGAGATCCCCACTTGTGGCTGTCAGCACAGGCTGCTGGAGCAAATTGCAGCCATCTCTGATAGCCACTGAGAGGGAGAGCCTTATGAAGACAAATTGAGGGTGGATGAGATTTTCTGGTTTTCCAGAAGTGCAAGAGCTGTGATTTAAAGCTCTTTGGCTGATGCAGTGTCAGCTGTGTGTGGCTTCTTATCAGTTAGACCCTTTCTTCTGCCCAGAATGGATGTTTTACAGATGTTACTGCAGCTGAAGTACTTGGGATGATAATGGTAGGCAGCACTAGCAGAAGTTTAAAATAATCTGGTTTACGATAAGTCATTCCCAGGGAAGTCTGCGTGACTTTCCACAGCCCTGTCTCTACCCATACATTTCAAAACATCAGGCTAAACTCTCTGTCCTTAGAAAATCAATAGAGAAACCTATCTCTCTCATTTACTTGATGGCTGCATGCTCATTGCCTACAGCTATCTGCTGCTCTTCAGCTTGGCATCATTTTACCTGCTTGACTGTATTTCCCTGATCATTTTGGGTGCTTTTCAGAATTACTCTCTCCTCCTCTCTGTAATGTTCAGAAAATTTCATTCTTTACTGTTCCTACCCTTTATTCTTGACTGCAGCAGAGGTGAAAAATGCAACAAATCTGTATATAGAACAGAAATATCTCTTTTTTCATGAGACACTGGCTTCTTGTCTTCAGTATCCATTCAAGGTTATTATGTATTAGTACCTTTCTTCAGCCTTTAAAAAGACAGTCATGGAAAAAGGCATTTTCCATGAACAAACATTTAGTTCTGAAGGGCAAGAATGAGCATCTATTCTGTATTCGAAGGCCTTAAGTTTCAGCAGCTTTGTACAAAGTCATTGGTAACTTCATAGAATCATAGAACAGTTTGGGTTGGAAGGGACCTTTTATAGGTCACCTAGTCCAATGCAGTGAGCAGGGAGATGTTCCAATAGATCAAGATGCCAGAACCTCATCCAACCTGACAGTGAATGTTTCCAGGATGGGGCATCCACCACCTCCCTGGGCAACCCAGTGTTTCACCATCTTCATTGTAAAAAATCTCTTCCTTACACCTAGTCTAAATCTTATCTTTTGGTTTAAAACCCTTGCCCCTTGTCCTGTTTCAGAAGTTTGCCCCAAAGTTTCTTACAAATCCCCCTTTCAGTATTAAAAGAGCGCAGTGAAGTCTCCCTGGAGCCTGCTCTTCTCCAGGCTGCTCTATTGACATGCAAATAGTAAAATGTCACAACATTCCTCTTTAATATAACTTCTTTGAAAAAAAGCTTGGAGCAACACTAGATGAGTTTACTTGGGCTATAGCAGTCATGGTAGCAAAATTGAAGCTGATGGCAACATATCCTTTGCACTGTGGATGTCTGTGGATTTGTGTTTCTGCCCCTTTAGGGTGCTTCCTACAAAGCTTTCCCATTTGGATTTTCTACTGCCAGGTCAGCTTATCCTATTTTGCAGAGCATGAAAAATTCTCCTAGTGAATACAGCAGCACATTGTAGCTGATTCAGAATTTGCAAGCTAATCAAAACCTGAAGCAATTTCCCTTCTCTCTTACATGAAAACACATGTTCACATATATGGTAAACAAGCATCATGCCTTAAAATGCTGATTTGTCTGTGCTCCCTTTCCTATAACTACTCATAGGCAAGTACTTTCATAACAGAGGGCACAAACAGAATTTAAAACTGTTCCACCTCTAGCTGTGCTTTTCATAAGAGCAATCAGTTACAAAGGGAAAGGCTGTTGTATTCAGTGTCTGTAAAAATATGTTTGGTGTAACATGTTTCTGAATAGGATCCAGTTGCATTAAGCAAATGCAATGAAATTCAACAGTGTAATTCCCTGATCAAGAGTGCATGTGCTCTTGAGTCACTTTACTGTGTTTGCAATTTTATTTTTGTAGCAACTAAACAACTAGCTTGGATGATTCATCATGATTCACATTGAAGACAAAAGGACAAAGAATACAAAATAAAATAATGTGGCATTGTTTTCTCTTAAACAAGGTAACACTTGTGCTTGATTTTCTCTATAAAAGCATCACAAGGTGCTTAAGACATTATTAGTTAGTGCAGGGTTTTCTTGAAGAATCATTTGCCCTTCCATTCTTGTCTTCTCAACCTGAGAAAAGCATAAATCAGTTTCCCTTGGTGGTGCAGTTCAGTGTGTGGTGATGCCTGTTCTGTCCTTAGCTGGCTGAGATGACACTGCCCATACTTGCCGATTTTGTACTGAAGCATTAAAAAAGGGCCTGGGTGTCTGTTTTCTAACAAGTGCTGCCTTAGAGTGTAAAACAAAGAGTTGGTTTAAGGGCTGTGGAGAACAAGTGAGAGCATTTACAGGATTTTTGTGTTTAAAAGGATGATCTGGTTGGCTTCATTTCCAAATACAGAAGGATAGATTTTCCCTTTATGTCACTTTTCCTACTGAAAAGGCAAAGCTGACATTTGCAATTGTTTATATAAGATTCAGAATAAAAAGTATATGAGTTTTATGTTACTTGGAATACAAAGTACATTGTTGAAACCAAAGGCTTCTTTCTAACAGGGTGAATTTAAACATTTCTTTATTGACACAAGTCCCAGGGTAAGGTGTGCATGGTGCCTGCATTATGTACATGGGAATGGGAAGTTCTTCAGCTGCACAGGATGTTTGCCAAAGATTTGAAAATTGAGGATAATGATATTTTTATTCAGATAAAAATAAAAAGTATATAGGTTTTATGTTACTTGGAATACAACGTGCTTTGTTGAAACCAAAGGCTTATTTCTAACAGGATGAATTTAAACATTTCCTTAACATTTCCTTATGGAAACAAGTCCCAGGTAAGGTGTGCATGGTGCTTGCATTATGCACATGGGAATGGGAAGTTCTTCAGCTGCACAGGATGTTTGCCAAAGATTTGAAAATTGAGGATAATGATATTTTGCAAATATCTTAAATGTAGCAGGCTTGAATAATGTTTTTATGAGGCATCAACCTAACTAGATCAGAATTTCAGTTACTTCAGACTCAGAGAGTTACCAACCCTTTATATCAAGATACCAGCCTGCCTGTTATCCATTCTGCTTAGGGAAAGCTGGATTGGTCAAGTGTCATTAGCAAAGGAACCTTGTCCCAAACCAGGGCAGACATAAACCATCTTCTCTCACTCCTGTTCCCCCAGGGAGCTTCTGTTCATTGTTGAAATTCATCTTGATATCTCAGGAAATCTGACAGTTTCTCTCACACCAGCATCTTGTCTCTCCATGTATTCCGGATCATTTCATGTTTTGCTAGTTTGGAATGTGCTAGTCAGCTGAATGACAGGAGGATTGGGATCTGAACTCATTTTCCTTTGCTGGAATGCATCCAATATCAAGTCTCTTTTTCCATATGAGAGGGAGAATATGTTATATTCAGGCATTTCCTTGGATTTCTTAGTTATACCTGTTTGCTTTTCCATCCCTATTATGTGCTTGCTTTTCAAACTCCAACCATGAATAATTTGAGAAATGGGCTGGTGTTTGTCCTGATTTTAACTAGAGTAGAGTTAATTTTCTTCCTAGTAGCTGGTACTGTGTTGTGGATTTAGGATGAGATAAAGGTTGGTAACTCACTGATGTTTCAGTTGTTGTTCAGTGGTGCTTACCCTGAGGACTTTCCAGTTTCCCATGTTCTCCCAGAGAGGAGTTACAGGAAGCTGGGAGGGAGCATGGCCAAGACAGCTGACCTGAACTGACCAAAGGGATATTTCTGTGAACATCAGGCTCAGTTGAAGCTGAGGTGGTCAAGGAGGCTGATTGCTGCTGGGGCCAGGCTGAACATGGTCAGCCCAATAGAATTGCTCATCACTTGTCTGACTTGGGTTTTATGTTTCTGTTTTGGTTTTCTCCCTTTTTGATGCTATATTATTACTATTGTTATCATGATCATCATCATTATATATCAATTATTAAACTGCTTTAATTTCAGCCCATTGGTTTTAACTTTTTTATTCTTCTCCCCATTCCACCAGGGAAGCCAGTGGGTGTGAGTGAGCAGCTGCATGGTACTTACTTGCCAGCTGAGGTTAAATCATGTCAGTGTTCCCCAATTACTGTTTGTGATTTTTCCATGTGTATCTTAGACAGGGAAGTTGAAAATTCATTGACCTTGAGTTCTGAACCACTTTCTTGGCTTAATTATCTCAGTCACTAAGGTACAGAACTCCCTGAGGTTTGCACATACAGGTAGAGGTAAGACAGCTCCTAGAACTGCATGGTTTATGTTGATTAAGGCATTATTTGAAAGATCTAAGCATAGTTGGATTTCTTGTCAGTAGATGAAGTGAATCTTGGCCTTAAAGATAATTTCTGCATCCTGGAAATGTTTGTGCTGATACGGCTTTTGACTTTCTATCAGGTTCAGGCTCTGCTTTCTCTCTCCATGTGCTTGTAAAGATGAAGGCAGTCCAGGCACACACTGGGAAAGGAGCCACACTCTTCACCTGCACTGCAGGTGGGAGCAGGCTGCACATTCGCAGTGCTCCAATTCACATTTCTTTTCTGGACTATGAACAGGGAAATACTGAAACTGTGGTGTGCTCCTACATGCTGCAGGCTTTTATTCCTTTGCTGCCTGAGTGGGGTTGCTAACAATGCAATAGTTAACACTCCAAGTTAGAAAGTTTTGAAAATATTGACTGGATTAGAATATGCGTTAGGATATCAATTAAAGTTGGCTCATTGGCATATGACTTAAGTGATTAAGAGGAGCAATTTCACATAACCCTCTACAATTGCTGTTAACCTCTAAGATTCTAAAATGTTGAATCAAATTCAATTAAACTCTGCATATTAAAATATTCTATAGAGCAGTCATTATGGAATCCAAGCACAAGCTTTCAGATTCAAGAGCAACAGCATCAAATGGCATTGAATAAATTCAGTCTCAGAAGGAAATGCTGTAGTTCTTGATTTATAACCATTGCTTCCTGCATGCCTGTTTTTCCAATGCTAGATTTTAAGCTGTACCCCAAAAGTCATTCCTCACAGCTTATTAGATCTTAAAGCATCAGAGCCCAAATTGATCTTTGAAGAACAGATCAGAGGTTACACGGAATGATCTATGGCTTCCCTTGACCCGTTCCGTGCTGCTCACAGGGGAAAAAGAGGCTCAGGTTTTAATTGGACTATTAATTTTGACTTGGAAGCAAGAGTAATAAGTGGTCTGTGAATCACTGGTGACTGTCTTGCTGTCCCTGCTCCCAGGTGATGAAGCAGGCGTCCCTCAGCTGCTGGCAGTGGCATCACGTCTGAGGGACACGGCGGAGCTATTCCAGTCGGACGAGATGCGCCCGGCCAACGACCCCGAGGAGAGAGCTCCTGTCAGAGTCAGGATGCTCAATGATGTGCTACAAGGCTTGGAGAAAAGCTTCCTGCTTCAGCAAGCTCCTCCAGGACTTTACAGGTACGGTACACGGTGTTCCACACGTTCTGTAGCTGAGGTAAAATGGTATTCACCGCTGCTTGGTTCGCAGAACTGTTTTACAAAGAAAACGTCAGTGAGTACCCAAATTTAAAGCTTTTTTTTTTCCTATCACGTCCTTTCTGCAGAAAACATTAATTCACTACAATGCAAGGGGTCATTAGAATGCAGCAGTGTAGCACTACTGTCATGACATTGCTGCTAACAAGACGTATGGTGTGATGGCAGCCCAGGCAGCGTGGCAGAAACGTGTGTCAGATGGTACAGGAAGCTTTCAGAAGGAGAAAATATTTTGAAGTCTAATACTGCTTGACAAGCTCCACCTATATTTTATTTAAAACTTAGTACAGTTCATTGAAGATTCAGAATTATACAAGATACTCTGTGACATTATTTAACATATTTAATTATATAGCAGCGTTCTTGGATGCATTTCAGCGAGTTAAAGGCAGTACATTCCAGTTAATGAGGAGGCCTGAGTCAGTTACTGTTCATAACATCTTGTCTCTGCTTGGAATTATCTCTGATATGTATTCAGCTGCACTACCCAGGTTGGTTTTAAGATGTCGTAGTCATCCCATCTTTTACTTTCTGAGAAAGAAGTCTGCAGGTCTCTGTCTCCCACCAGAACCAACTAGAGTAGAAAAACTGTACTTTGATTTCAGTTGATGGAAAAAATTATCCAGTGTCTTATACAAGTGAATGTGTAAAAGTGGACATCAAACAGACAGGTGGTGGAGGTGGGGAAGGAAAGCAGGAAGCTCCAGCCATAGCAGGGATTCTTCCAGTTATTTGCAATGGTATAAAACAAATGCAGTCATCTTTTAACAAAAGCAAAGGGGAAAAAAAAGCAAGGTAGTTATGGGGAACTCAAAAGTGCCAGTGAATAAAAGCCCTACAGCTGTAATAAAGAAAATATAATAATTACATCTGGGGGGAGGCTAATTTACTTCCTTCCTGCTGTGACTGGATTTATAACATAAAGAAATAAGCCAAAATGGGATTAGATAAAGTCTAATATTCCAGGTTTAGCAGTGCTGTCTGTCTTGTCTGAACTGGTATGGTGTTGCAAAGGAGCAAAAAACCTGTTAAATAATAATGTAATATGTATGTGTTGCATTGCAACAGCAAGATTCAACCGTGTTGAATCTGGCCCAGTTCTTTATTTGTAAAAATAAATTATATCAAAACTTAAGATTATAAGGAGAGGGCTTTTGACATCTTCTAATATTTCAATTCTTGCAGCACTTGCATTATTAAGTTTGTTATTTACCAAATGTAATTACTAGACATGCAAACATAATGTCACAAATTTTTCACCTGCTTTCCACAGTATTTAGTACAGTTTCACACTGGCAAAGTAGACACTGTGGAAGTGAAAATGCTATATTGCTGCCCTCCAATTTAGTTACATTTGATACAAGATTTAACAGTACAAGATTTCAAAGACTAGGAGAAAGCATTGTCTTTGACTTTACTCTGAATAAATTTACCTGACATCATCTGGAATATACAACAGTAAAGGACACCTTGTGTGTCATCATTTAGATGTTCATTTAAAAAGAATACAACCTTTGCACAGTGCCAAGGTGTGTAATTGTTACCTTTAATAGCAAATCTACACAGATAAGCAGAACCAAGGACACTGTTAGGTTGCTGATGTCCTTTGCTGCCATTTAAAATCTGAAGTACATTTGCTTAATTAAAAAATAAAAAGCATCTACGTCTTGTTTTGATTATTTTTCATTTTTTTTAGGGATTGAAAGTCCTTCTGTTAGTTGATGAAGTTATGTGAATGTGTTTTGTATTCTGAAGATATAATTGTGTCCTGAGAACACTGGAAATGGAAAAACTAATACACTTTTTTTTCTTTTTTTGCTTGTAAAACTTTAAGCTTATTCTTTTTGTCATTTTGTAAAGAAAACAAACCAAAAAAATCTGTCTCATAGCCAGGACCTTGTATGCCATGTTTCATCCCAGTCACAAGATTGATAGGCAAGTTATAAACCCCTGAAATAGTGGTTTATAATGGAAATGCTGGCAGCCCTTTAACTATAGCAGCACAAGCAGTACAGCAATAAATACTGTGCTTCATCTGTAAACAGAAATTTAGGATGCAGTTTGCAGCCTTGACCTTCAGGCTCCAACTGTGTTTAGATCATTAAGATTCCATAAATACTGTAATTTACAGCCTTCTGAAGGAAGAATTTGTGTGCACAGTAAAGGACGTATTCTTCATGAAAAAATGATTGCTTCCTGTGTACCCATTTGGACTCATATTCTCAACCTCAATCAAAGCTCTTGACAAATTTGCTGAAGTTTTAGGCATCATTTTTAGCCTTGTGTTTGTCCTAATTCACAGCTCTCTGGATCTATACTATGTTTTCTGTCCTAGAAATGGAATTAAAAAGAAAGGTGTTTTTTTTCTTTATTGCAGGAGTGTTGCAACTTTCCTGTGCTTCTCCACTACAGAGAAACTGATACATCTTTTATGCATCTTTTTTTTTTCCCATAGTTTGCACACACATTCCAATAGCTATGGTCTTTTACTGTATATAGGTACTTAAAAAAACCAAAAAAAACTCATTTCAGTCAATGTCATAGGGCAATATTTAGGCATAATTGATGCATTTTGCATTGATACATCTTTTATGCATCTTTTTTTTTTTCCATAGTTTGCACACACATTCCAATAGCTGTGGTCTTTTACTGTATATAGGTACTTAAAAAAAAAACAACTCATTTCAGTCAATGTCATAGGGCAGTATTTAGGCATAATTGATGCATTTTGCATCTATAATGAGAAGTAATATAATCAGACTTAGTAGAAGAATTCAAATTACTATTTTTTTTTAATAATTTGATTAGGATATTTGACTGAATTTAAGTAATCATGATTGACATTGGCAGGTTGTTCAATACAGTAAATGCTGTAGTTTTGATGCTCTTTCCTCTTACCTGAACCTCCTGACATTGAACTGCAAATTTGACAACAGCACGTTCCCCATGATCTCTATTTCCAGCTGAGCTGGAAATACACAAGTACAGCTTTAATCAGGGTATTTTAGTCTTATCCAGAAATTTAGGCAGAATGAAAAATAATAGGTTGAGGAATATCCTGCTTTGCAAAAGTTACCCTGGGACTTGATTTGGGGTTAGGAGAAAATTGCTGAGCTTTTTATTGTACCTCAAATATTTCTTTTGATTCCCAGTGGTAACCCTGGGTAAATTTTCTATTTCCAGGATAAATTTCTAGAAATGAAATAGGATTGCTGTTGGTATCTTTAATTTATTTTTATTTGTTTCTCATAACATAATCATTATACTGATGATTATTTGGATTTTCAATTTGCCATTATTTTAATGGAATAATCAGTAGACATCTGTCTGTTTTCTTACCTTTAGCCATTTCTTGCTTTCCACTCTTTCAATGTATACTTGTATGGAACATTTCTGTGTGTTTTCTGATGATCATATTTTGCTTTTCCCTCTACCAAAACACTGACACCAATATCAGGGATAGCAAGACAGTGTGGATCAGGTGCTCAGAAATACTGAGTTCAAATCTTGTGTTTGTCTAGGCTCAGCAAGAGGGTTCTCCCAGTTTGTTGTATATGTTATTGTACTTCTTATATTTGCTGATTCCCACAGCTTCTGCCCCCTGTCAGCCTGAGGTACCTGTCAGGTCTGCGTGTGCACTCCTTGGGTGCTCACAGAGAGCCTCTCTCTGATTTGAAGGGCAGAGCTCTTCAGTGCACAATAATATTGAAAACAACTGAGATAATAAAGCAAACTTCATGGAGTATCAGGCATGGGACACTCAGTGCAGGGAGATCTCCAGTCTCAGTGAAAGTGTCACATTTCTTCAGCTCCAGGTCTAATTTTCAGGTGTGGTGTGGATACCAGGTGAATCCAGTAGTAACTCTGCAGGATTTCCTAGAATCCCCTGGGATGCTCCCCCCAAATTTTCAAACCTAAGAGAGTCATTAAAATCACAGCTTGTGTCTTCAGTATTTAAAATTATATCCAAAAAGGGGCGTACAAGGGCTCAGGCTGTCATTTCTGCTCCAGTTAGGTGCATTTTATTCTTAATGGATCCTTGCCTAAGGATCAGTTATGTCCTGACTGACAGTTCTTTTAACAGTTTTATAAAAAAGTCAAAGTCAACATGGGTAAAATTTTTCTTTAAAAAGTTTTATCTTAGCATGCCAAGTTTATCCTGTCCATTAAGGCTCTATGTATCTGCCACTGTTATTTATGGAAATTTACAGGGGTGGTTGTGCTTTGTCTAATAGATGTAATTGAGTGAATTGAGTAATAAGTAGGTGAAAAGCAAGGATTTTGAAAGCAATCTGTGTCTTCTGCAAAGACCTCCAGCAGCTTTTATTGCTCATTTGTATCAGTTAAACTTCTTCCTTTTGCTTCTTTTCATCACAAATACCCAAGTGTGACATTAACACTTCATTGGGCTAAAGAATTACAGCAAATGGGTGCATTTTAATGCACTGAACAAAATACTGGCAGTAAGTAAAGATAGATTGTGGAGCCTGAATTTGACATAAGGAAATGAAAGAACAGTCAAAAGGTGTTATCAGTGCCACTCAAAAAAGGCAACTTGCATTGCTGCTGAACTTGTGCCACTCAAGTGTGTGCTGTTCACCAGAACAAATATTTTCCTTTCAGACTGAGATTTGTTATGTACATTCCTGACATGTGTATATTCCACAGGATTTATTTCTGCTTTGCTGGTAAACTGCAGCAGATTCTCAGGTTTCAAAATACACATGCCCTAAGAGTCTAGTTTCCAGAGATCTGTTTAGTAGGAAAATTAAAGAGCTTGTTATATCTTCACATGTAAACAATCTGCTCATTGGATTTACAGAGGATGAGCATTAAAGATGCAAATATCCTGCTAGTCTTAAAGAGTAACATGGGTAAACACGGACTGCAATGTCACCTGCAAAATAAAACCCCAACCCAGA